TTGACTTTTGTTGGGAAAACTTAGGAAAACTATAATTATGCATTAAAGTTGATTCCTTTAGCGATGATTGATGATATTAAACTAATTATGAGTAGATATGAGTGGGTTGGAGGTGAATTCTAAAGGGAAAGTTATACTTGAGCAGTGAGTGGCCTGCGAAATCGAGGTAAGTATTGTGTCTAACCCTGACTTGAGGGAATTAGGAACCTTAGATTATTTTCTAAGTGAAATTCATGTGAGCGGCGTATATATGAGGTGACGAGTACTTATGCGCCGCCAATTTACCTATTTTTCCATGTTTCTTCTGTTTTCTTCTATTGTCTCTTCCTATGCCTAATTGCTACATGTTTATATTAGTGTTGTTAAATTGATCGTCATTATCATGTTTACGGATTTTCTGTTGGTAATCGAGTATTTATTTAAAAGTTGAGATTTATATTGTGGAACAAAATGTTGAAGTAAGGTTTGTACTTGTTATCCTATCTCCATATTGTTATTTATGCATTGCATTATGGTAAGGGAGAGTGTTAATGCACAAAGGGTGATGTCGTGCCATGATATGAGAGTTAATGCACGAAGGGTGATGTCGTGCCATATTAGGAGTGTTAATGCACGAAGAGTGATGTTGTGCCATATTGTGAGTGTAAAAGCACGAAGGGTGATGATGTGCCATGATGTGAGAGTTAATGCACCAAGGGTGATGTCGTGCCGTTTCTATTGATTTTATGGTGAGATTGAGAGTAAAAGCACGAAGGGTGATGCCGTGCATTTTTTCTTACTATGTTCACTATTCCTATTGATTCATGGTATATTGACTGCTCCGGTGATCATTCTGTTGTAGTTCTTTATCTTCTATTCCCCTCGGTATGTTCCCTTCCAGATATTTCCTGTTTAGTCCTTCATTTCTGTTATTTGTATATACACTGTTAAATTGTACAGGTTGATTTGTAGGTGCCTTGCCTTAGCCTCGTCACTACTTCGTCGAGGTTAGGCTCGACACTTACCAGTACATGGGGTCGGTTGTACTGATACTGCACTCTGCACTTTCTATGCAGATTTTGATACCGGCTCGGGTTGATCGAGATTTTTGCTATTGGTCCGCTGTCCGGAGACTCAAGGTAGATCTGTCGGCATTCACAGACCTTGAAGTTCCCGTCTATCTTTGCTGCTCTACTGTTTCTTTCATTCAGACAGTTGTATTTCTTAAGACTATTACTTGTAGTAAATTCTAGAATGCTCGTTAATTATGACTCCAGATCTGTGTGGTAGTGATTAATACGGTTTTATAATATTCCGCACTTATTATATTTCATCTTAGTTAATTATTGTTATTTACTAAGTGGAAATAAGGAATTGGTTTAATGATTCTCTAACGTTGGCTTGCCTAGCAAGTGAAATGTTAGGCGTCATCACGGTCCCGTTGGTGGAAATTTTCGGGTCGTGACAGTTACTTTCTTTGGAACCGAGTCTCTTTCTTTGAAATAACGGAAGTTGGCTCTTCGATTATAATATCGCTCCATTCTATGATTTTGAGCTGCCATCCTTACATGTGCTAAGTCCCTGTGTTCCTCGAGTAGTTCCAAGTTGATTAGCATTGTTTCATCGTTCGATTCTCCATATGTATGAGAATATCTCAAAGTAGGTTCGCCCACTTCTATCGGGATTAGGGCTTCAGCACCGTAAACAAGAGAAAAAAGAGTTTCTCCTGTGCTCGATTTGGCCATGGTTCGGTAGGCCCATAGAACTCCGGGCAATTCTTCGAACCATTTGCCTTTTGCTGCTTCCAACCTTTTCTTGAGATTTTGAGTAATCACTTTATTCGTTGACTCCGCTTGACCATTTGTGCTCAGATGATAAGGAGAAGATGTGATCCTCTTTATTTTCAAGTCTTCGAGGTATTTTGTAACTTTTGCAACGATAAACTATGGCCCATTGTCGCATGCTATCTCTCTTGGTATCCCAAACCTGCAAATTATATTTTCCCATATGAAATAGACCACTTCGCATTCTCCGATCTTCTGATAAGAACCTGCTTCCATCCATTTAGAAAAATAATCAATCAAAAATAAAAGAAACCTTACCTTTTCAGGATCCAGTGGCGACAGTCCAACGAAGTCCATCCCCCATTTCATAAACGGCCATAGGGACAGAACCGAATGTAAGGGTTCTTCTAGTTGTTGTACTAGTGATGCTAGCATTGGCACTTATCACATTTTCGTACAAAATCTTTGGCGTCTCGTTCCATGCGAGGCCAATAATATCCTGCCCGTACCAATTTCAACACCAAAGATCCTACGCCTGAGTGATTGCCGCATATCCCTTCGTGGATTTTTCTCATGACATAGTAAGCTTCTGACGCTCCTAAACACCGGGCCAACGGGCCTCGGAAAGTTTTTTTTATACAATTTGCCTTTCTTGAAGCTATAACGTGAATCTTTGGCGCGTAACGCCCGTGATGCCTTGGGGCCATCGGGTAACTTTCCGTGCTCGACGTAGTTGATTATTTCATTTCTCCAGTCGTAGACCAGACTAGCCGAATTCACCTCGTAGTAACCATATGTATCCAGGACTGAGCTCATCATTTGCACCACTGTTTCGGACTCCGATCCCTGATGCCTTGGGGCCATCGGGTAACTTTCCGTGCTCGACGTAGTTGATTATTTCATTTCTCCAGTCGTAGACCAGACTAGCCGAATTCACCTCATAGTAACCATCTGTATCCAGGACTGAGCTCATCATTTGCATCACTGTTTCGGACTCCGATCCCTTTATTTCCATTAATGATCCTAAATTTGCTAATGCATCTGCTTCTGCGTTATAATCCCTTAGGATATGAGTAATTGACCACTCCCGAAATCATGCCAAAAGATTCTAGACCTTTACCACGTATTGTTGCACATGTTCTTCTTTGGTATCAAAGATCCCGTAGACCTAATTTAACACTAGTTGTGAGTCACATTTGATTTCGATAACCTCGGAATCAAGTTCCCGGGCCAATTCGAGCCCTGCAATCAAAGCTTCATACTCTGCTTCATTATTAGTTAAAGGGATTGTTCTGATTACCTGTATTAAGGTTTCCCTCAAAGGCATAATTAAGACTATTCCGAGCCCGAACATTTTTACGTTCGTAGCTCCGTCCGTAAATAAGGTCCAAACCCCCGATGTTGATTTTGCCGCCATTACTGCCTCCTTGGTTTCTAGAGATAGTAATCCCGGACTAAAATCGGCCACGAAGTCAGCTAAGACTTGTGACTTTATTGCAATCCTTTGTTTATATTCTATGTCGAATTCACTCATTTTGACGGCCCATTTGGACAATCTACCCGAGAGCTCGGGTTTGTGGAGGATATTCCGCAAAGGGAAAGTAGTCACCACAGCTATCGGGTAGCACTAGAAGTAGGGCCTCAACTTTCGAGTGGCGATTACGAGAGCCAAGGCCTATTTCTCCAAATGTGGGTAGCGAATTTCTCCTCCCGTTAGAATTTTGCCAACGTAATAATTGAGAAATTGCATACCTTCGTCCTCCCGGACTAAAACCGTACTTACCGCAACTTCTGACCCCGCAAGGTAGACTAGGAATGTTTCACCTTCTTTTGGTTTCGAGAGCAATGCAGGGCTTGATAAGTACTTATTTAGGTCCCTCAAACCCTGCTGGCACTCCGGTGTCCATTCAAAATTATTCTTCTTTTTGAACAATGTGAAGAAGCGATGACATTTTTCCGACGACCGGGAAATGAACCTGCTCCAAGCTTCTAACCTTCCTGTGAGCCTTTGGACTTCCTTTACGTTTGACAATTGAGCCGGGATATCGTCTATGGCCTTGATTTTGTCGGGGTTTACCTCAATTCGCCTTTGTGAGACCAGAAACCTCAGGAACGTACTAGAACTAACCCCGAAAGCGCACTTCTCGGGGTTAAGTTTCACGTTATGCTTCCTCAGGATGTCGAATGTTTCTTGTAAATGCTTATGGTGGTCACCTGTATTTAAAGACTTAACGAGCATATCGTGTATGTAAACGTCCATGGTCTTTCCTATTTTCTCTTCAAACATCTTATTTATGAGCTGTTGATAAGCGGCTCCGATGTTTTTTTAACCCGAAGGGCATTACATTGTAACAATATGTACCGAAATTTGTTATAAACCAAGTTTTTTCCTGATCTTCCGGGTTCATCTTAATTTGGTTGTGCCAGGAATAAGCATCAAGGAAACTCATCAACTCGTGCCCGGCCGTAGCATAAATCATTTGATCGATATTGGGCAGTGAGAATGAGTTTTTAGGGTATACCTTATTAATATATTTATAGTCTACACACATGCGAAATTTATTGTTCTTCTTAGGAACTACTACTATATAGGCTAACCAGTCTGGATATCTTGCCTCCCTGACCGAACTGATTTTGAAGCAAGCGGGTTACCTATGAAGTCATGAACAGTGTAGTTTTTCTCATGAACTTTCAACTGCCGTGACGCGTGTTCCATTTTATAAACAGGTTTCATGTTTGATGCATTTCTCCTCGTATTTTTCTAATATAGCCAATGTTAACAAAAATATGCATCATGTTCGATGACAGACTTCATGTCTTCTGGCTGCAAGCAGAATGACTTGAATGCAGCAAGGATGCAGTATAGCAAATCCAAGAAGCGAATTCATTCAGCTACGGGGCACATATTCATTCAGCTTAGGGTGAATTGAGATAAACCGATGGCAAAGAATCACCCTAATTAATAAAAGAGCACACATCAATAAAACCTTCACAATTACTCAGTCGGAAAAAATGGAAGAGCTACTGCTAGACCTGCATATCCACATCTTCCATTCCTCGACGTCTTTAGCAGAATAGATTGGCCATTTTCAGCCCGGAAAAAGGCGGAGCTTTAAGGTGTCAATACGGCATTCGAACTTTCGAAGCAACATGTTTGAGAAGGCGCATTCAAAATTCACTGCATATTATACATGAGCCTATGAACCTTACTTCACAAGCCACTGTAGCACTCCCAAATAGGAAATCACAAAAGAGTTGAAAGAATGGTAACAGAAGAAGAATCATTACTTATTACAGCTAACTCTTGCACACCAATTTTGACGGTCAACAGTAAAAGAATGGTAACAGAAGAAGAATCATTACTTATTACAGCTAACTCTTGCACACCAATTTTGACGGTCAACAGTAAAAGAATGGTAACAGGGGGAAACGTTACTTATTACAGCTAACTCTTGCACACCAATTTTGACGGTCAACAGTAAAAGAATGGTAACAGGGGGAAACGTTACTTATTACAGCTAACTCTTGCACACCAATTTTGACGGTCAACAATAAAGATAGCACAATAAAGATAGCGATTCATCAATCCTGTTTAGGTACACTGAAAAGTGTTTCGAGAACCAACCCCCCACATATAGCAGAAAACTCAAATCTCCACTTCTGATACCAAACAGTTAACCAAGCTTTGCCTCTTTATGCTTGGCATCCGCAATCTTCCTCCACTGAACTGCTGAAACTGACAAAAAGACAGATTGTGAGAATGTTAGCTAATCACATTATGTAATTCTTCTAAAGGGTATCGCCACGGTACACTTTTACAACTTTTCTCTGAAGCATAGCGTTTGGAAAGAGCATGTTTCAGAGGACAAATTTTTAATTTCCATATGTATTGTGTCAAACTGAAGGGAATTGGAGTCCAACGGTGTACAGCAGTATGAGAGGGGGATACATCGAGCAACTGTTATGTCAATGTAGGGAATCTGGACCCAAAAAAACAAGAGCCTCTTTACCCTTTTTTATGTTAAATAACAACAAAGGAGTCCATTGATCAAATTTATGTATATGCCAGCTTTAAAACCAGGTTCTCTACATCTCAATGCCTTGTGAATATTCCCTTGACCAGCAGTTATATTCCCCTATAGAGAGCTAACTCTCGATAAGGAACACCCCTAAATAGCAGCAAAACACTCATCAAATTAAGAGGAACCTTCCTTGTCAATCAATCATGCACATTTTAAGCAGCTTTCTTACCTGGGTTCACATTGTAATTTTGAAACAGAAGAATGGTACAGTCAAATGCCAATGGCAGCTTAGTGCGATCAAAGCTCCACTTTCCATGAAAAGCATGGACACCTAATTAAAATTTATTGGAGGAAAAACCAAAGAGGGATGTAAACCATAAGATATAATAAACCCAGAACCCAGATGTAAACAGAAAGCGATTTATCCCATTATACTGAACCCGTTTGTGGAATTAAATCTGTAAAGTTCTACTGTTAACATCTCCACCTTTTTTATTAACACTTATGTCTTCACTTTCAACATTATATTATCCATATCCAAATAGTACAAAGTTTAATGGGGTATATATTTGTCAATAGAAAAACTTGAAAGGAAATTAAGCAGTACCTTATTCATAAAAGAAACCATACTCTAACTATGAGTTTCTCTATTAAATTCATTTTTAAAAAGGGATATCTCCCTGTGATTGGCATATAATAGTAAAGAAAAAGGCAAGTGTATCTCAAGTTTGAACTCACCTCTTGATATTCTAGCATGAAACAATCTAAAGCAGCTTTCACCGTCTAGTCCGCTTGTCTGCATACTTGTCATCATCATATCTTCTCTTTCCACCAGAATGTAAATCATCATGTCTAGCCCTCTTGAGAGAATCATGACCTCTATAACTATCACGTGTTCTGCTTCTATGTTCCTCCTCTTCTTGTTCATGCCTTCCACGCTGAGAATCCCGTTCTTTCTCATGCTTCCTGTACCGATCTTCCTCTTCATCTCTTTTTTGCTTCACTTCCCAGCGATCATCATCCCTACTTTCTCTTCTCTCCCGTCCAGGCACTTCATAATCTCGATTTTCACGTCGACTTTCACGGTGCAGTTCATTCCGACTCTGAATTTTAGTGCCACGCTCTCCACCATCACCTTCATATTCTCCCCCAGTTCTTCTTGCTTGTTGATCTTTACTTCTGTCCTTAATACTCCTGTATGACCTACTTTGATTGTCAGTTTCACTATTAGGCCTTCCATGCTCTTCGTCTTTTCTAGAATCTATCTTCCTTGACTTCCCGCCGGGTTCATCCAAGTTTTCGTTATCTAGTTTTCTCTTACCCCTCAACAACTCTTGACTAGCACTTGATCCACCAATCACATCTTCCCTCGATTGATATAACTTCTCCAATTTCTTGAACGTGTCCAATCCTTTATCAGAAGCTTGTGCACCTTCCTTCTTTTTCAAATCATCCTCCTGAAATTCCCTATCTTTCATAACCGAACTCTCCCACCTACCACCAGAATCATCTCCACGACCACTTCTATTGAACTTCTCAGACTTGGTCCTATCTACACTCTTATGTCCACGATAACTCCTCTCGCTATCTGAACCACTGGTGATGCGAGAATAGTCACTACTGCTGATTTCACCTTCGTCCTTGTCAGAATTGCATCGTTTACTTTTTTGAGTCTTATTTGTTTTTGCAACATAGCCTTCATCATACTCGCTGTCATCAGACTCGTACCTTCCCCCTTTCTGAATCTTCTTGCTTTTTACATCACGATCGTTACTACCATCATCAGAATCATGTCTTCTACCTCTTTGAGACTTCTTGTTTTTAGCATCACGACCATCATCATGCTCACCCTCAGTAACATGTCTCTTCCTTCCTGAATCTTCTTGCTTTTTACATCACGATCATTACTATCATCATCACCAGAATCGTATCTTCTACCTCTTCGAGACTTCTTGTTTTTAGAATCATGACCACCATCATACTCACCTGCAGTAACATGTCTCCTCCCTTCCTGAATCTTCTTGCTTTTTACATCACGATCACTACCATCATCGTCATCATCAGAATCTTGTCTTCTGCCTCTTTGTGACTTCTTGATTTTAGCATCACGGCCATCATCATACTTACTCTCAGTAACCTGCCTTCTCTCTTTCTGAATCATCTTGTTATCGACATCGCGATCATTTTTGTAGTCATCCTCATCAGAATCGTGTCTTCTACCTTGTTGAAACTTACTGGCTTTTGCATCACGGCCAGCATTATACTCACCCTCAGAATGTCTCCTACGGGATTTTGCATGTTTCTTCTCCTGATCAGACTCTGGATAAGAATCAGAATCTGAGGAAGAATCAGAGAGTGAATCACTGTGATGCCGCCTTCTACCCTCTTTTTCCCTGGCAGACAACTTTTTTGACTTATTATCAACAGCAGTAGCAGAATCAGAACTAGAATAGTGGGCTTTTTCATGGTTCTTCTTCTTAGGCTTTTTGGCATGGCTATCACCGCTGTCAGTGTCAGAAGAATCCACACGTTTTTTCTTCTCTGTTTTCTTATTACGCTTACCCTCATCNAGAAGAATCCGCACGTTTTTTCTTCTTCTCTGTTTTCTTATGACGCTTACCCTCGCCTTCTCTTTTCTCAAGTCCTTCCCCTGCCACTTCCTATCAACAAGCTCATTATTATCACCATCTTCATTCTCTTCAGAATCTAAATCTAAAGCCTCATGCCGCTTCTTCTGGGTCTCGTGTTCAGCCCCTATCTTGAGAGCAGCTTTTAAGGTTTCCATCTGCCTTTCCTTCAAAGCAGCAATCTGGTGTGTCTGTGTTTCCGAAACCCTGAAAATGAACAAACTAGCTGTTGCATATCAGCCATGCAGTGTGTGTGTGTGTGTGTGTGTGTATTATTTATTTTTTTGAAAAAGAATCTTGCAAACTATATATTGGCCCGTTAGCAAAACATTTATACGAAGCAGGAAAGGAGAAGTCAACAAAACTTGGACCCCTAACAGCCCAAATCCCAGTAGCTTTTAGGATACTGAAACCTGCTTTGTAACCTCCAAAACCTTGCTTTGTTCTATCTAACAAGCCAAATTTCCTATCAATTTTTGGAGGTCAAAAAATATTGGTAAAGACATTATGATATAAACACATCACTAGAGGGCTAAATAACATTTATATCCAACAAAACCAATTCTTGGAACTTCTGAACTGCTGAAACGGCAAATTGCTGACCAGGTTATAACAATCGGACTGACAACAGTCATACAAGTTAAAAACTGTAGTAACTATAGTTGTGATAAAACGGCCCATCAGAACAACTTATACATGATTGCACTTTTCTACCTTTTCAACCAGAAAGATAGAAGTGTAGAACCACAAAACAAATTCACCAATGAACCTTATGCTAAATTTACTTTAAGATTTTTGAAGCTGCTCAAGAAATGAGAATGTCAAAGGACGCAAGAATCAAACCACAACCTAATCATATATATATGTATCTAAAACCTCCTCATCTAGACCTCTCATACAGACAAAAGGAAAACAAAAATCATTTTCAATTTATATCTCCTTAAAAAGTCTACTAATTCATATAGATCATTAACTTGTCATAATTGTACCATATTCCATAACATATTCTTAAAGGTCAAAAACAAAACAAAACAATGTAAACTCAACACCCCAGGGTAGGCCCATTGGTCTATGAGGTGAGACCATGAGGTTTCAAGTTCAAATCTCAAGAGTCAAAAAATCCTAGGTGATTTTTTCCCATATGCCTAACTGTTGGTGGGTTGAGGTAGCAAGTACCTGTGGAATAGTCAAGATGCACATAAGATGACCTGGACACCACCACCGTCATTTTAAAAATAAACAACAATATGAACTCAGAAAGAAGCATTACAAAGTTGTAATAACCACATTTCTTTCCCCTTTCCAATTTCTTTCGTTTCTTTCACTTCTAATGGAAAGAACAATAAAATATCTCATATTTCCATTTCCCAACAATTCTGCTAGTTCCAAAGATAATGCATGGAAAGTTCTCTAAGAAACGACTAGTAACAACATCAACTCAGTCAAAACTATAAATCTGTAACTAATTCTTCAACAATAATTGATCCAATGCGTATATTATGCAAAAAGCATAACTATAAATCAAAAAATAAGTTACCTTTCATAGCCAATAGCAGTGGATCCACCAGAATCTTCAGATGTTGCCTCCAGATTACGTCGAGCTTCATCGAGCTTTTCCGCAATCTCAGCATCGGTGTATCCCTGATCGGTAAGCTTATCCTCAAGGACTAGAAGTTTGAGCTGAATCTGCCGTTTCCGGTCGTGTTCGAGAATGTCCTTGTTCGCTTTCCTCGTCACTCCGGCAGTTCCTTGGCCGGACTCAAAACCTTTGCCGCCGTCTACGAGGACTTTGTTCGTCTTTGGCTTGACGAAAAACTTGTTGGTCTGGATGTAGCCGTTGGTGCCGGAGCCTCGCGGCGTTTGTAGCCCGATTCCGTTGTACATCTTCGCTGGAAAGCAAAAAGAGAATATCTGAAATCTCTTGCCCTAACAATTAGGGATCATTTGCGTCATATATTATAAGAGCGATGGGTCAACCCGCTCTAAATCGGGTCGGGTTTTTAGGCCATTTGTTTCGTTCTATTTTTGCAAACGATTTTTTACCTTATCTAGGGTGTGTTAGCTATAAAGCAAAAAAAAAAAAAAACAATTCCAATTTTCTATGGTTGGTTAGTTTAAATGTTTTAAAAAATATGAACTTATTTTTTTTTAATTGGAGTGAAATATTTTTTCAAAAGGGGAAATATATATTTTTTAAAATTCTTTTTCAATATTCTCCACCCACCCCATTAAACCCACCCTCAAATCACGCCCAACCACCCTAACCCTTACACCCACCATACCCAACCTCGCTCACCATCCACCCTAAATCGAAATATTATTAAAAATATTTTTTTTCATGTTGTAAATAGAGTACTTTTTTTATTTTAACAAAATGAGTATATTCTTTTCATGATGTAGAAAAAGTATTTTTTTTTTATTTCAACAAAAGAAATACTTTTTTTTCGTGATGACGAAAAATTATTTTCTTTCATTTCAACAAAACGGGTATTTTTTTTTCATGATATAGAAAAAGTATTTTCTTTCATTTCAACAAACTAAGTATTTTCTTTTCTTGATGTAGAAAAAATATTTTCTTTCATTTCAACAAACTAAGTATTTTCTTTTCTTGGTGTAAAAAAAAAAAATTCTTTCATTTCAACAAAATGAGTACTTTCTTTTCATAATATAGAAAAAGTATTTTCTTTACTTTCAACAAACTAAGTATTTCCTTTTCCTGATGTAAAAAAATATTTTCTTTCATTTCATCAAACTGGTATTTTCTTTTCATGATGTAGAAAAAGTATTTTCTTTTATTTTAACAAAATGATTACTTTCTTTTCATGATGTAGAAAAAGTATTTTCTTTCATTTCATCAAACTGAGTATTTTCTTTTCATGATATAAAAAAAGTATTGTCTTTCATTTCAACAAAACTAATACTTTTTTTTCATGATGTAGAAAAGTATTTCCTTCCATTTCATCAAACTAAGTATTTTCTTTTCATGATGTAAAAAATTATCTTCTTTCATTCAACATAATGAGTAATTTCTTTTCATGTTGTAGAAAAGATACTTTCTTTTTCAACAACAGCAAAATATTTTCTTTTTAGTTATCGAGCTCAAATTTCAACGTTGTTCGTGCGTGAAAAAGTAAAGTAACACATTAGTTCCTTTGGTTTTGTGTGAATTTTGAAAAGAATAATTAAATTCTTGAAAAAAATTGGGGGAGGTGTGTAACGACCCGACCGGTCGTTTTGAGCTCCAGCACGTCGTTCGGCGGTTTGAGGCCTTGAGTAGCTTCACTTCAGATATTATGACTTGTACGCATGGTTGGAATTTAATTTCGGGAAGTTCGGAGTTGATTTGGAAAGTAAATTCTCATTTTGAAAGCCTTAAGTTGAAAGAATTGACTAATACTAGATTTTAAGTAAGCGGCCTCAGAATCGGGATTTGAAGGTTCCAGCAGGTTCGTATAATAATTTCGGACTTGAGAGTATATTCGGATCGGGTTTTGGATACCCCGGAAGCGTTTCGGCACCTATTGTGGAAGTTAGCATTTTGGAAGAATTCCAAAAATTTGGGTTGAAGTGCATTTAAATGTTATCGATGTCCGTTTGGAATTCCGAGTTCGTGTGATCGCACCTGCGCAAAAAGGGCCGCAGGTGCGAAAAATCCATCGCGGGCGCGGACACCGCAGGCGCGAAGAATTTTTTTGCATGTGCGAAGCCGCAAGTGCGAGAAATCAATCGCAGGCGCGGACACCACATGCGCGAAAGATTTGCCGCGAGCGCGATTATCGCTGGGCATTGAGTGTTTAAAGCGGGGATTTGAGCATTTTTGCTCATTTCTTCATTCTTAGACGATCTTTGGAGCTTCTTGAGAGGAGCATTCACCTAACAAATTGGAGGTAAGTTAATTTCCACCTATTGCAAGTTAAATACATGGTTTTATATATGGATTTAGACATGAAAATTAGTAGAAATTATGGAGTTTTGATAGAAAATCTAGAATTTGGTATTTTTTGATTTTTACCGCGAATTTGAGCATGTGATTGGACATAAGTCATATATTTGAGTTTATAAGGTTATGGGTAAAGTTTATCTTCAAAAAATTTTGGAATCCGGGCACGTGGGCTCGAGGGTGATTTTTATCGACTTTTCGAGCGGAGTTAGGAATTGTTATAAATAGGATTATAATGAGTATTAGAGTATATATTTATGGAATTACTTGTTTGTTGATTAGTTTTGGAGCGTTGGGCATCGATTTGAGTTGATTGAATGGCTTGGGAGCCGGTTATGAAACTTCAGAGCAAGGTAAGTCTCTATTCTAACTTTGTAAGAGGGAATTAACTCCATAGGTGAACTAAATTATTGTGTGCTTCTATTTGTGGGGGCTACGTACGCACAAGGTGACGAGAGTCCGTACGTAGCTACTAGTTATGCCTATGTCCGAGTAGTTTTAGGCTCACATCATGCCTTGTTGATATTGTTATTGATTTGTGTTTATTGTTTGCCACGAGAGGGAGCGAGATTGAGTTTGCTTATTAAATATTTTGAAAGGAGTTGAAATTGAAGAACTTGAGATTTAAAAGGTTTCATTTGAACTTCATAATTTCGAAAAGGATTGAGGAATGCTATAATAACTTAAGAAATCTATGTGTGACTGCGTCGCATGTATGTTTCGCAAGCGAGGTAATTTTCTTAAAAGGCTACAAGCTGAATTTCCCTTATTTTGAAAAGAATCAAGAAAGAGATAGGATTTTAATGTTAAAATTATATTTGATCGCGTCGCAAGTATGATCCGCGAGCGGGGAGATTTCCTTAAATTTATATTTGACCGCGTCGCACGTATGATTCGCGAGCAGGGTATTTCCTTCTACCACTCTTATGGGATCGGGTCGTTCTCCTTGGCAAGATTTATGTACCACACTCTCATGAGAGCGGGTCGTTTGCCTCGGCAGGTTAATAGATGCATCTATCGTTCGCATCATTCGACCCTCGGCAGTGCACAATTTACTTTTATGTTGGATCGGGTCGTACGCCTCGGCATTTCCTATATATATTATCCTCATGGAATCGTGCGTAATATTGGTAAGAAGCCGGTGTATCTGAGGTTTTTCCCTGATTTAAATTATGACCACCTCTTTGATGAAATCCACCATCTCTATATATGCTCCGGTTACAGAGGGAACTTGTTAGTTGAGAGCTCGAGTAAAATTGTAAAGAGGGGAATTATGCCACATATTTTATACATGTTTATTTCATATATTTACTCGGTTTCATATCTATTCACTTCTTTACTGTACCTGATATTATTTGACCACTAGTAAGTGTCGAAGTCGACCCCTCGTTACTACTTCTTCGAGGTTAGACCGGATACTTACTAGGTACACGTTGATTTACGTACTCATACTACACTTGCTGTATATTTTTGTGCAGGTGCATATATATATCTAGTAGCCTTGCGGGCGCAGAGATGTGGTTAATGCGGAGACTTAGGTGAGCTGCATTTCCATCTACGATCCGCAGCCAGCATAGTCCCCTTCAGAGTTACTTATGTATTTTCCTGTCTAATTTGTATTGTGGACAGGTGTTGTATTTTATTTTATCTTCCTAGTTGACGTTCATACACTTGTGACATCGGGGTTTGGGATGATTACAGGTTATTCAGTATTGAAATCGTTAGAAACATTATTATTTATTCTGTTAAATCCATCTTTTACTATTAAATGGAAGAAAAATCATGATTTCAAAATACTAAAATGAGAACCAAATTAAGTATTTATTTTTGGCTTGCCTGACAGCGGTGTCCGGCGCCATCACGGCCTTTAATGGATTTTGGGTCGTGACAACATGGTATCATAGAACCAGGTTCACTTAGGTCTCACGAGTCATGAGCGAGTCTAGTAGAGTCTTGCGGATCAGTACGGAGACATCTGTACTTATCTTCGAGAGGCTATAGGGTTGTTAGGAGCACTTCCCTTCTTGATTCCCTATCGTGCGATTTGATTCCTTTGAGGCTTATGCCTTCATTTCTTTCCCATTCAATCTTATGCGACGTGAAACGCTGGTTATAAATCGGGAATTGAGGAATTGTTATGGTACTACAGATATGGTGCGGACGTTTCTCCATGCATAGTTGATTGGACTATTATCGTCGCCTTGTGGAAGTATATTCTATCATTTCATCTTAGTAGCTGTAGTTATGAGAGCTTTGAGGCTATGCACAGGTTGCTATGATGATCATGAATTGTTATCGCACAATATTGATGTGATGATAGGATGCTTGCCTATGTGTCGGGGCAGTGAATGACTTGAAAGGAGGTTTGCTCAGTGCATGATACAGAGATTCGGTATTTTACTTCCGATGGAGGAAAGGCAATCGAACTAAAAATGTTCAGACTTGGGTTGATGGAGTAGCGGGACTCGATATTTTCGAGCGTGGTGGAATATTCGCCTGTGATGTGGCGTCATCGTCCTTGATTGGTTAAAATGTGTTAAGTCCTCCGGTGTTATGTTTTCCTTCAATTCGCCTTAGGGCAGAGTATTATAAATGGTGCCGAGAAAGCGACTGTCAGAGGTCGCAACGTGCAGAGGTTCAGGATCAAATCTGCATTCCTGGTATTGATGGCTCGAGAAAGATGATTTTCAGAAAGGTTTAAAGTTAGGAGCGACCTATTGGTTCAAGTGCTACAGAGATAGATTTTTGTTTAAGGCAACAACTGGGTAGTGAAGAATGAGGAAGGACATGTGGGAAGTGCCTTGCAATGGATAAACTTATAGAAGGCCAAGTGTGAGAAACAGGAGTCGGGTAATTACTTAAAGGAGTGAGTTTGACCAAAGTGGGAGAGTGGCAAGGTAGCATATGGGTTCGGTGGTAGGATGACTACACTCCTTGAGAAAAGTTTAGAGTGATTTGGGATTCATGGTGGACAGTGACTAGGTCTACGGGCTTAATT